TCCCCACCAATTTGGATCGCTTGTTGTTCCCTTGTCCCTGAGTTTGTGAACACCTCTTCCCTTCCCCCCCAACTCATGAGTTTGTCTTTTTACTTTTTAGAAAATCTTGCATCGCCAGACAAATATCCCAACGCTGATGGCAGGCAATCCTCAGGCAGTTCATGGCGCTGGTCCTGGACCAGGATCCAGTGTGCCAATGAATCAGCAAAATCCTCAGGCTCCCCAGGGCCAGTCTTTGGTAGGGTTTTATCTCTTTATATTTCCATTATCTGCCTTAGAACATTATTTAATTCCATGGAGGCCATATTAGAAGCAGAATGACGAGGAACCATTGATGAGAGAGAATCATTTTTATTTCCAAGCATTAACAAAAAAATCCATATTACAGAGTACATGGCAACTAAATGACTACAAATTCCGTCTACTCTGTGCGCGTGCGCGTAGGCCTCACATTGTGGTTGGCACTCCAATATTTCATGTGCATTACCTCACTTCATTTATATAGTTGTTGTGTGAAGTTAGTATCTTTATTGCCACACTTATTGATGACAAAAGTAAAGCTAATTTTCCAAGCAGGCCATAAAACCCTAAAAACTAGAAAATGCAATGCTGATAAACTTAAAAACAGAAATTCTGTATAAAAAAGAAATAACCAAAGACAAAGATGAATTGTTAAAGAGAATTTGTTGCAGGTGTTATCGAAAGCAGGCTACTCACCATAATGACGAGCCCTTACTCAGATTATTTAGGACAATGAAAAATTATAAACATTCTAAATGTGCAGTCACTAGAAGAAAGAATCAAGTACATTTTGTTTATCCATTGGAATACTCTATAATTGTTAAAATTATCACACACATCCATCAACATGAATAACTCAAAAACAATTTTGTGTGGCAATTAGATGGGATAGGATATGTAGTGTCGACACAGATAACTCAAAAACTTGAGTAAAGTAAACTTATTTTACCATTCAGAAGTAAAATAAGTGAATGCTAGAAGCATTCCAAAATGTAGGCTATATATATTTTAGTGTAGATCTTGACAGCATATTGAGGAAGCTGAGCAAAAGAAGATAGTTTGATGATTTATATAAACATTTAAAATGTCCATCAGAATTCTTAGTGATTATTTAGGGAGGAAGGGAGATGGTGTAATTGAAGAAGACCATGTCGGAGACTTCAATTGCGTAGCGATAGAGGGTTACGTAATTTTCTCATCTGGTTGTTGTGTATATGATTTCTATATCTGAGATTTTCCTTAGCAAACAAGGCTTCTGGTAAATTAGTGCTTGGTAAAGTAAAAGGACAACGAAAAAGAAGCACCTTGATGAGATGGATTAACACAGTGGCTGGCTGCAACAGTAGGCTCAAACAACAATTGTGAGGATGGCACAGGACTGTGCAGTGTTTTGTTTGGTTGTACATAGGGTTACTATGAGTCAGAACCGACTCACTGGCACCTAACAACAAGCTAATAAAATCACCAGTAACCCAATAGAAAAAATGGCAAAAGACATGAAACTAGTTCACAAAAGTAGAGATACACATTGTATAAAATGTTTCACCTCAAAATAGGATACATGTAAAGAGCGATGTACCCATTTCTATCTATCAGATTGACAGGTAAGCAACTTGGGTTGCACAAAAGTATAGGGCAGCCAGACAGTAAATATTTGGGGATTTGAGGGTCATGCTGTTTGTTAGAACTGTTCAGTTCTGCCCTTGTGATGTTGAAGCAACCTTAAATGATATGTAAATAAATAGGTGTGTTTGTGCTACAATAAGATTTTATTTTTAAAAGGCAGATATAGTCTATGGCCCATTCTTTAGCAGTTCCTGCTATAAATAAATAATGAACCTTGATAGTGTTATGCATAAATGTACAAAATTATTGACTTACTGTCCTCCTTGCAGAAAAAAATGATTCAGTGCCCCCCATAATCCAGTGTAAAGTGTAGGTATTTGCTTTTGCAGCACCCCCTGAGGGAGTTGTATGGCCCATTTTGGGAAATACTGGTGTAATGCACAGGTTCTCAAACTTGCTTGACATACCACCTTCTTTTTCAGAAAAAAAAATTACTCGGTGCCCCCCTGGCCATTAAAAACTATTGTAGTATAGCACATTAAAGTACAGACAACTGCTTTTGCAGCCTCTCTGGATCATTCCAGTATTCCCCAGGGGCAGTATTTCCCACTTAGGAAACACATTGGGCTGTTACATGTACAGGGTTCCAAGCTCAAACTCCAATTTCCCTGGGGGAGAAGGTGAGTCTGTCTGCTTTCATAAAGATTTAGGGTCTTCTAAACCCTAAGTTGCACATCTCCTCTGTCCTAGAGGAAGACTAGTGGTTGAAATCAATTCAATGGCAGTGGGTTGGTTTGGGATTTTTAAAACATTGGAAGTAAACTGAGGCTGGATGAGGTTTATTGGTTCAAATTAGCATAATTGTAAGGGACAGATGTAGAATTTGATCCTTGCTCTGTCTTTACCTAGTTTTCTCATAACTACCTCATTATAGGGTTTCCTCTTTTTTATTTTAAGAGTTTTGTTTCTGTTCAGTATTTCTGAGGATACCCAGCAGGTATTTTTTGGTGGGGAGGGGGTAACTTACCTTTCATTCTTTACTGAACTCTTCTAAGAGGCTGCTCAGTTCTTTGGGTAATACACAGATGAAAAGGTGACATTCCTTTTCTTTCAAGGAACTTAAATGTAGCATTGAAAAAATTCTTTATGTTCTCTCAAACCCAGAATTAAGTCTGGTTCTGAGACAGAGATGAGAAACGATTGGTCAAATAATTATTTCATCTAAAAAAACTTAGACTGCCAGAAATTATTTCAGAAGTAGTCCTGGCCTTCTCTTCTCCAGGGCATTTTTTAAACTCTTATTACCAGGTCCTAGTTGTGAAGTCAGGCACAGGCACTACTGTTGCCTTGTCCCATAGATAAGACTTGGTGATTTCAACATTGCATTTCAAGAATATGCTCCATCTGAAACCACGATACGTATAACCAGATTCCTCACACATATGTAATTTGCTTCTGTGGAATTCACGGTATTACAAAACTAATGCTACATATCTAATACATTACAAATGTAATGCTATACCAAAAAGATGTTGGGTAAAATACTGCAGAGTTTTCAATTTGCAGTGGATTTTGAAGTCACAGGCTTGGTATATTGAATCTCTTTGCAGGCAGGTACATACTCTGGTTCTTCTCTTTGTCAGGGTGGAATGCATGTCAATGGTGCACCTATGATGCAAGCTTCTATGCAGGGTGGAGTTCCAGCACCAGGGCAAATACCAACTGCTGTAACAGGACCTGGCCCTGGCTCCTTACCTCCTGGAGGTAAATTTCATATAGAGTACTTTGCTCAAGTGTTACTACAGCAAATGTCCCAGGATACCCAGATTATTATGTGGCAAAGGGATTTGATGAATGATAAGGAGACATCTAAAAAGTTTATATTCCAGTTGAAGGAAGTAGTTGATTTTCTTCTATACAAATTCTATCTGATTAATAAATCAGAGAAAGTACAGTGGAAAAGTGCAGTAAAATTTCCTAATTAAAAACAGGAAAAATGGAATGAATGGAAACTTAATCAAACCAGAAAAAAAGATAGGGCAAAGGGAAATGTAGACAAGGTAAGTCAGTGGAACAGTAAGATGGAAGGAATAAAACCAAATATAATTGTCATTCCACTAAATGTATATGGACTGAATTCTCTTAAAATCCAGGCTTAAGGTTAAAAAAGTATGAATAAAACAGACTCAGAATACATGGCCACATTTCTTATCATATATAATACACATAGAATTGTTTCAGGATAATCAGACTAAATGAAATTTTCAAAACTACGTGTTCACTCAAAGTATATCTATAGGCAATTCGTAGAGCATTGTCATTGTATTTATAATTTTACTTTTCAGTAGTTATGATTGAAATATTCCTAAATTTAAGTAATTAATGAAATAATGATTTTTCTATTTTTCAAAAACAGCCATATGAACACTTTGAAAAACATGGCTAGGATAAATAAATAAATAAAAGGCATGGTTAGATATCAGTATTAGTATTTTTAATGTGACAAACTTCTTTGTTGTTAATTTATATCATATGACTTAGAGTGATTACTCTAGGAGGGATAATAGGAATCTCAATTCTGTTTTGTAAAGAAACTATCGTGAATATTCGTATAAGCCGAGTTTTTAAAATTAATTAACTTATTGTTTTATTTTTAAAAGACTTTTATTGGGGGCTCTTACATCTCTTATCACAAACCATACATTCATCCAGTGTGTCAAGCACCTTTGCACATATGCTACCATCATCTTTTTCAAAGCATGCTCTTCCCACTTGAGCCCCTGATATCAGCTCCCCATTTCTCCCCCTCCCTCCTCCGTCTACCCTCCCTCACGAACCCTTGATAAGTTATAGATTATTATTTCCATATCTTACATCATCCTCAATCACCCTCACCTACTTTTCTATTACTCATCCTCCTGGGAGAGGGTTCTAGGTTGATCCTTGTGATCTATTCCCCCTTTCTGCCCCTACCCTACCCTAATCCTCATGGTATCTCATTGTTGGCCCTGAGGGGTTTATCTATCCTGGATTTCCTGTGTTTGTGGGCTCTTATCTGTAGCAGTGTGTGTGCTCTGGTCTAATCCGATTTCTAAGGTAGAATTGAGGTTATGATAGTGGGGTGAAAGAAGCACCAAAGAACTAGAAGAAAGTTGTGTGTTTCATTGGTGCTATACTGTACCCTGACTGGCTAATCTCTTCCCTGTGACTCCTCTGTGAGGGGATGTCCAGTAGTCTACAGATGGGCATTGGGTCTCCACTCCATGCCCCCCCAATTCACATTGGGTATGATTTTGTTCTGGGTCTTAGATGCTTGATAACTGATCCCATCACCACCTCATGATCACACAGTCTGGTGTGCTTCTTCCATGTGGGTTTTGTTGCTTCTCAGCTGCATGGCCGCTTCATCTTCAAGCCTTTAAGATCCCAGACTCTATATCTTTTGAGAGCCGGGCACCATCAGCTTTCTTCACCACATTTGCTTATGTGCCCATTTTGTCTTCAGCGATCGTGTTGGGAAAGTGAGCATCACAGAATGCGGGATTGTTAGAACATAGTATTCTTGTGTTGAGGGAGTACTTGAGTGAGGCCCAATGTCCATCTGCAGCCTTAATTCTTAACATATAGATATGAGTACATAGTTCTATTCCACTCTCGTTATATGTATATTTACATATATATATGCCTGTATCTAGGCCTCTATAATAATGTCCTTTGCCTCCTGTTTCTTTCCTCTATTTCCTTTTACTTTCCTCTTGTCCCACCATCATGCTCAGCCTTCATTCAGGTTTAGTAATTCCTTGCTGCTACATTGCCCTTGATTGAGCCCCACTATGCATCCTACGACCTTCCTACCATTGAGTTTAGTTCACTTGTTGTTCCCTTGTCCCTGGGTTGGTTCTCCACCCCTTCCTTTCTCCCACCTCCCGTTCTCCTATACCCCCCCCAGAACCATTGGTTCCATTCTTTTCATTTCCAAATTACTTATCCAACATATCTTATCTTGATAGACATGTAGATACTTTAATAAGTGCAAAAACCAGGCAAAGCCAAATAAAACAACAAACAAAGTCAAAACCGACAAAACGATAACAACAGAAAACAAAATAACAGTAACACAAAGAAAGCCACTAACAAAAATGGAAAAGCCTATGAATAGTTTAAGGTCTGTTTGTTGGCCTTTAAAAGTGTTTTCCAATCGTGTCTATTTTCTTTATTTCCTGGGGATTTCGTCACTCTGCTCCCCCTGCTGCTCTGCTGCATGCCCTCAGTGCCTCGCCCCAGCGTGATGGGGCCAGACCGTGCACTATATCCGCACTATGTCTCCAGTGCTGTCCTCTGTAGTGCCATGGTTCAATGAGGTATGCCGTGTCCTGTGGTGGGGCCGGCCCTACAGTTCTCCCTATGTGTTGTCCTCTCCGAGCAGGAACATCATCCTTGGGGCTTGGTAGACCAGGATGTCCTCTCCTCCTTCTCCATCCCTTTGCATTTCTCCCGTGTGCTCTAATCTGTCGTGCCCCTCTCCCCAAGTTGTAGCTCCAGTGCTGTCCTCTGAAGTGCATTTTTCTGAGGCGGGGTGATTTTCCACATAGTGGCCTCTCTGGTGGTTCCCTGGTACATGCCAGTATGTTGTATTCATGTTTTGGCGCATTGGGTTAAAGGCTGGTCTTTCTCTCCCTCTCCCTGTGGTGATATAAACAATACACTCCCCTTGGGTGGGTTAATATAAGCCAAAATTTTCAGCACATTTTTATGCAGTTTTTGTGCTAAAATTAGGTGCCTCAGCTGACAATCGGGTCAGCTTATACTCGAGTATATACGGTAGTCCCTTTACTAAGTTGAAATTTCTACAAACTCAGGAATTTCACGTATCCTATACTGTTACAGGAAATTATCTTTCAATGAAAGAAATATATTCTGTATTTTGTACATTTTTGAGTTATAGGTGCCACACTCATTTTAAAATGTCATGCCTTGTAATATGATTATAGTCCATGATATGTATGATTCACATGAGTTGAAAACCACCCAGGGTGGTCTATGAGACAAGTTTACTTAAAACATAAAGAAATTTATAAGATGTATAAAAGAAGTATAATTCATATGAAAAAGTATAGGGAAAGCCCTGTCTGAAGGAAAATTATTATGTTGTTAAAAAAGATAACACTAAATATTACTTTTAAGAAATTAGAAAAATAGAAAAGCCAGAAGTACCCAAGACAAAGGGAGTAATAAAAGTAAAAGTTGAAAGTAAATTTAAAGCAGTTAAGTAATTAAACTTTCAGATGATTTCTTTGCTAAGCTTGTAGCATTTATAGTTCAGAAGTTATTAAAACTTGAAGTACCACTAAGATTTTTCAAGCCTCAAGTTGCAATTTCAAAAGATACTCTGGGCATTGACATTGAATACCCTGATGTCAGATGGATCCTGACTGAAAGCAGATAATACCAGGAAGATGTGTACTTGTGTTTTATTGGCTATGACAAGGCATATAACTAGATCCTAACAAAATATGGATCACTTTTAGAAGGCTGGAAATTCCAGAGCACATCATTTATATTTCATTCTTTTTTTGTATAGGGTTGCTATAGGTCAGAACTGACTGGCACCTAACAACAACAAAAATTTTAAGGTATCCTACAAAGCTCTGGCTATCGATATGAGAGAAAGCTACCTAGTGGAAAATGTGTAGCAAACATGAGTAGATACTTCAAAGAGAGTCCACCACATGGCCAGCAAAAACAAACTCATTTCTAGTCAGGGGAGTAAATAGACAATGAAATTTCACTCTACTTACATGTATTAGAGTAAAAGAAATTTAAAGAGAAATGATTCCTGATATTGGTAGAAAAGTGGTACTCATATATCACTAATGAAAATGTGAAGTTTTCAGCTTTTCTAGAAAGTCATCTGTCATTGTTAATATTAAAAACTCATACACATTTTGACCCACAAATTCTTACGGAATCTGAACAGTTCTATTTTTTTTAATCAATTTATTGGGGCTCATACAATTCATCACAATACATAGGTCAATTGTGTAAAGCACACCTATACATTTGTTGCCCTCATCATTCCCAAAATTCGCTTTCCTCTTGG